TTCGTTTTACAGATGCTCAGTGGAGACTAAATAATGAAACGGATTGATACTCAGCAAGGGGACTAAATAACGACTGCCGTTTACATGGCACTTACCAGCCGGCAAAGCAGTTTTACATATGTTGTTTCATTTGATCCTCAAAACATCTCAGAAATGACGGTGATTCTTATTAGTCCTGGTTTACTGGCGAATAAAATGATGCTCAAGGAAGTTTGAGGCTGCAGTCCTTGCAGAGGTCATCAGCAAACTTTCCACAGAGGTCCAGATAGGAAATGCTTTTGGCCACGCGATCACCATCACGGCCACTCAATTTTGCGTTTTAGCGTGAACGCAGCCACTGACAACATATGAGCAAGTGATTGTGTCTGCGTTCTATTGCAACTTTATTTACAAAATCGGTGGTGGCCTATGGCAGTAGTTTGCCCACCCCTGGTCTACACTTTGCTGGATACCAAAGCCTTTCATAGACTATTGCTTTGTGGGATCCTCACATCCACATTGTTATCATTCATACTACCATTCATTATTATTGATGTATTATTATTGTTAATGATGCTGTTATCAGCCTTATCATTTCAAAAGGAGCAATCTAAGGTGTGTCAACATTAAAGACTGGCCTGAGGTTAATGCAGGAACCGGAAGTCAGATCCAGCTCCCCTCACCCCGCATCCTCTGTCTCCCACAGTGTGTTGTGAGAGGGACATGAGAGCTCCCCCTTGGTACAGCGGTTCTCAACCTGTGGGTCGCGAACAATGAAAATATATCCTGTATATCAGATATTTACATTATGATTCATAACAGTAGCAAAATTACAGTTATGAAGTAGCAACAAAAATCATTTTATGGTTGGGGGTCACCACAACATGAGGAACTGTATTAAAGGGTCACGGCATTCGGAAGGTTGAGAACCACTGGTAGCAGATTTCCTGCCTGTCCCATGGAAGGAGACTGGCTGCATTCATTTATTTTATTTTATTTTTTTTTACAGAGAGGAAGGGAGAGAGATAGAGAGTTAGAAACATTGATGAGAGAGAAACATCGATCCGCCGCCTCCTGCACATCCCCCACTGGGGATATGCCTGCAACCAAGGCACATGCCTTTGACCGGAATCGAAGCCGGGACCCCTCAGTCCGCAGGCCGAAGCTCTATCCACTGAACCAAACTGGTTTCGGCAGGCTGCATTCATTTTACCGTTATCAACCCCAGGGGTTACTCCTCCTCAGGTCCATTCTCCCCTGTTACACCAGCCCATGAACACCTCTCCCTCCCTGAGCCACCATGGTGCTTCTACCCAGCAGCCTTTGATGTTACTGAGAATAGAAGCTGCTGGAAAATAGGTTCCCTGTGCATAGTGACTGCAGTGGCACCTGCCAGCTGTCCACTGAAACCCCTTCCCAATGCCTTTTACAGTCACATGGCTGTCCAGCTAATTTCAATTCCTAGCCTTCCTTGCAGTGAGTAACTAAGTCCTTGCCAGTGGACACGATGTGTGAAACTCAGGCAAGGCCTTTAGTCAGAGGCCCTGCCTCCTCCCTGCTCTTTCGCCTTCTCCCTGGCTGGGCCCAGCCTTAACCTTATGATGAGGATGTGCTGGGGGGTGGCAGAGCCACATCATAGAAGGTGCCAGTGGCCCAGAACGATCGCATGAAGTACTTCATACTCTTCTGTGAAAGAGAAATAATCTGTTCTTTAAGTCACTAACCTTTTTTTTGGCCGGGGGGGGGGGGGGGGCGAGAAACACCTGCTTGTTAGGCCAGCCCTGCCTTACACAACCCTGAGAGTGAACGCCCCCTAAGTTTTGTGCTCATGGTGCCTCACTTGCCTTACCTCAGTTCTGACCCTGCTCAGTGCATGTTTTATCCAAGGAATGAATGATTCACTTTAGCTTTACAATACTTTGTCTTTTTTTCTGATATGCCAGTGCAGAGTCTTTCATTGCAAGTCAGGAACCAATGCTGGCTGACCGCAGCAGGAGAGGAGTTCATTGGCAGGCCAGTGGCGAAGTCACAGAGGCGGCATGAGCTGAGAACTAGGCTTAGAAAAGAACAGAGACTGGAGACACTTTGGGTGCTTAGATGGCCAACATGGATCAGTTCCATCTTTTTCTCCCCTTTATTGATCTTTCTTTGATCAATGTCGAAGTCTCTGGAACAAGTCCAATTGGTTGAGCTCAGATAACATGTCCTCCCCTTAGCTAAAGAGGGTGGGCACTTTGATTGACAGCTCTATCAAGGCTGCACACAAGGGAAGAATTCCAGATCCCTCCACCTCCACTCCCAGCTTTACCCCTGAACAGCTGAGGCCAGGTGCCCTGTTTTCAGGCTGGGCTCAAGTAGGAGAATTACCTCAATCTGAATGTCATGATTACATGAACCCAGCACAGTGTCTGGCACATAATAGAAAACAGTAGTTAAGATCCTTTGGCCTTGTAACCATACAGAGCTCTCTGCTACTTACCAGCTGTGCATTCTTGTGGAAGTTACTACATTTCTCTGAACCTCAGTCTCCTCATCTGTACAATGGGCATGATAACAGTACCAACTTTAATGCATAGTAAAAATTAAATGAGATACAGTAAAGGTATCTTCCCTTGTGTGCAGCCTTGATAGAGCTGTAAATCAAAGTGCCTGTCAATCAGATTGAGGTAATTCTCCTACTTGAGCCCAGCCTGAAAACAGGGCACCTGGCCTCAGCTGTTCAGGGGTAGAAGCTGGGAGTGGAAGTAGAGGGATCTGGAATTCTTCCGTTGTGTGCAGCCTTGATAGAGCTGTCAATCAAAGTGCCCACCCTCTTTAGCTAAGGGGAGGACATGTTATCTGAGCTCAACCAATTGGACTTGTTCCAGTAAAGGTATACTTAGCACAATGTCTGGCACATAATAAGTGCTCAATAAATTGTAGCCGTTTTTAAAAATTATAACAGGTCTTCAATAAGTACTTACTGTGTGAGTGAATTATCTGTAGTATTTTGAGTTCCTCTAAAATCACATCTGGAACTGGAGTGTATTGAAACGCCCCTCCCAGTTCTCTAAGCCACTGACCTTCCACATTTGTATAGCTCATCATTCCCTTTGTGGCCTCACTTCCCTCCTTCCCCAGCTTAGAGCCCTGGTCTTCACTATAGTCACTCAATGTGTTCACCCTGAACCCCATGCCCTCTTCTCTCTCCATCTACTCACCTGGAAAGTCGCAACAGTGCGTAGCCCCTACTCACTGCCTGTTCCACACATGTGCACAGCCGTGGACTAGGGCCAGAGAAAAACAGAGAACCTTTCTGGCTCCAGTGGGCCCTCCCACCCTGCGATAATCCTACAGTACCCATTCCCATGGTCAGTTTACTTTCCACTCACCCAGAGCCTGTCTCACATCGTCTCCTCTCTTCTGCCTTCGACTCTTCACTCTTAGTTAATGACCTTCTCTTATCTCTTTGACAAAAACAATACAAAACAAAAAACAATAAGGAGAAAACCATCTCCTCTTCTCATTGCCAACTCCACCGATCTACCTGCATCCCGTACCCGAGTGCTCCGCCTTCTCTCCTGTTACCATAAATGTGCCTTCTCTGATCCTCTGTAAGGGCAACTCTGCAGGGGTCCCCTGGACTCCATCTCACCCACTCAGAGGTTTTGCTCTTGCAGTTACCCCTTTGCTCCTATCACCTCAGTGCTTCTGTCATTCCCATCAGCACCACCTCGGCTGTAATATGGCCCGTCTGTAGAATAACGGGGGCTCAGAAAGACGAAACCTTCACCATGGTCTGCAAGACCTTAGCTCAGCTGGCACTTGACTACTTTGTCTTAATCTATTCATGTTCTCTCCCTAGCTCACTCTGCTGGAATCTTCTGGGTCTAATTTCTAATTCCTCAAACAGAGTTTCTGCCTACCTCTGTGACTTTGCACTTGCTATTCCCTCTCCTGGGATGCTCTTCCCCTGATCACTCCATGGCTTACGTCTTCACTTTGTGTAGGTCACGCTCTAATACCTCCTCAGAGAAGTCTCCCCTGAGTACTTTATTTTCTCTAGTCCAGCCCCTCTAACCCCACTCGGTTCCCTGAGCTGGCTCTAGTCTTCTTCACAGCACTTGATGTCATATTAGTGTTCTGTTTTCTGACTTCCACATTTGTTGTAAACTCGGCAGCAGCAGGAATGGTGACTGTCTTGTTCCTAACTGTATCCCAGCATGTAGTTGTAGAGCATATCTAGTACATAATATGTGATCAGTATCCTATTTATTGCATCATTGAATAAGCAAATTACAAGAAGGATTTCTGATATGGTTGCTCATAAATGTCAAAACCTGTGTTTATGTGCTGAAAGAAAAGGAACCAGTATCTAATGAGTCGTGCTGGGGACTGTTAAATATATCAACTCATTTAAAACTGTCAACTTCCTATAGAGCATGAGGAAGATTGAGGTTTAGAAATGCAAAGATGCTTGCTAAGGTCACACAGCCTGGCTGGTACCCAAAGTATAAGGAGGCTGACTCCAAAGTATGTGTCCTTTTCTTTATTCTACTCACTGAAAAACCATATACCTGGGTAGTTCATTCTTCACATTGTTCTTGTTTTAAAACACTTATGAAGGCTGGCTATATGATACTTTGTGCTAAAGTCTTTACATGATTTATCTCATTTGATCCTCATGTTCCTATTTGGTACATAGTCTTATTGCCTTTATTATACAAACTAGAGACCCGGTGCATGAAATTCACACACAGGTAGGTTCTCTAGGCCTGGCCGGTGATCAGGGCTGATCTGTGTGGTGACCGGCAGGACAATTGGGGGGTCCCTCACTGGCACCTGCCTTGGCTGGCCTGGCACTGCCTGCTCACCAGCCCCACGCGCCTCCTCCCCACCTCCCCCCACTGCCGCCACCAGTCGCCTCCCTTTGCGGCACCCACCTTGGCTGGCCTGGGGCCTGCAGGCTGGGGCAGCTCCTGGGTTGAGCATCTGCCCCCTGGTGGTCAGTGAGCATCATAGTGACCGGTCGTTCTGCCGTTTGGTCAATTTGCATCTTAGGCTTTTATTATATAGGATGAGGAAACAGGCACAGAAAGGTTGAGACACTTCCCCAGGTCTATTTGGTGGGGTGGCAAAGCCAATATTCAAATCCAGTTCTGTCTAATTTCAAGGCCTGGGTCTTTTCTGTAACATTGTGCTGTTTCCCTTAAGACAACTCCCTGCCTCTGCTAGAAAGAGAAGAAAAATGACTAACACAGGCGCATAAAGTATCATTAAGAAAATTCATGGTGACTTGGCTCTTTAAGTGAGAAGCAAAGGGCAGGAGGCAGACAGCCAGTCTAGCATGGGCTCTTGCAGGTTGGGGGGTTCACATAACTCATGATAACTTAATTTACGAAGATCGTTCTTCCAGGAACTGGGGCTTATCATATGTTTGTGCGAGTAGAGGCCTGGAGAGAGATGGAAGTAGGGGGCAGGGACTGGAGACCATGGTGAGCAGTCAGCTATCAGACCCAGCAGGGGTTACTTGAGCCTCTGAGTGTTCGTGTGCTTATGTGTCTGGGGGCCAGAGGGGGAGAGGGGAGGGAGCAGGAGGAGGGAACCTTGCTAACGCAGGGCCCCTCTGTCTCACCATCCCTTGCCTACATCCCTCTCACTGTAAGCCTGGCCCAAGAGATCAGAGCCTGGGTGGCAGCTGGGGGTTTCTTTGCTCCTATAGGCACCTACATGAGTTTTATTGAACTGGTTTGGCCAGAGCACCTGCCTATCTGTTGAGAAGCTGAGGCAGCCATCATGGAAGAAGTGAAGGCCCACTCTTGCCAGAAGGCTTGGAGGTCTGGCTGGGGGAGGAGACCATCTGGAGAAGCTCCTGTTTATTGTAGAAGACCGCCTGACCCCCAAAAGTTTATCTGTTCTTTTCATAAACATTTGCTGAGTGCTCAGTGTAAGCCAGCCACTGGTTATACAGTGGTGAGCAATACAAATGTAGTTCCTGTCCTCAGAGCATTCACAGCCCCACAGGGGAGAGAGACAGCAAACAAAAACCAAACAAATCAGATATGTCATTACACACTGTGATATGGGAAAATGACTAGGTTCGCTTCTCTACATTCTGGCAGCTAAAGCAGAAGGATTGCATGATCATGGAGGTCCTCTCTGAGGAGGTGATGATGATGTGGAGACTTGACAGATGAATAGGAGTTTTGCAGATGAAGGGTAGGGTGTTCCAACAATGTGGGGAGATCTGGAGGTAAGAGAGATCCTGGCTTGAACGGGGTGGTTGGGTCATAAAAGCGAAGGGAAGAGGAAGTGAGGAAGAAGCCAGCTAATGCAAGGCCTCTTGTCAGCTCTGCTGTGAAGAGTTTCACTTTTGTTCTCTGTGCACTGGGAATCCAATAGAGTTGTAAGCAGGGCAATAACACGATTTGATTTAAATTCTGAAAAAAAAATCTCTCTTGGTGGCTGTGATCAGGGCTAGAGATGATGGTGTTTGCCCTCTGTCACTGCTGAGGATGTCCTGCTGGGTTTGTGCTGCTGACTCTCATGGATCTAGGCTTCAATGGCCCACTAACCCCTTTTGAAGGACACCTTCTCCTTTGGAGGTTTTATGCCTGCATTCAGGTGGACAGTCTCTTCTTGTCCTGGGGGATGGTCTACTCCTTTAAGGGGATGTGTTGAGTAGGGTCTGGCCAGGAGATAGAAACGACACCAGGTATTTGAAAGAGAGAAATCAATAAAAAGAATTGTCAATTAGGATCACGTTGTTAAGTAGGGATCTAAAAAGGATTAAAAGGACTCTGGTTTCACAGATTTAGTGACTGCAGGAAGCATCATACCCACCGTCTCTGAGTCCGAAGGAACAAAGGAAAGACATTGGAATTCTTAAAACTTAGAGACAGTCCTGAGGTTCCTGAAACTCAGCCTCCGAGGGGGTCACTGGCCAGCTAGTGCGGGGGCTCTGAGCTCAGAGGAGGACCTGTGAGGGGCTCAGCCGAGGCGGGGCTGCGGCTCAGCCTGTGCTGGTGTCTGCAGGGGCATGAGGAGGCTCTCTGCACGTGTGGGGAGAACGGAGCTGGGTTCACCTGCCACGGGGAATAAGTGATGCTGGGGTGATGCTCATAGGACCCCCACGGGAACAGGAAGGAGCAAGTCCGTTTCCTCCTCCAGGCTTGCAGCTGCCCACGAGGACCCACATTAGCAGAGACGGGGAGGGAGCTGCTGGAAAGCCACACAGCCGTTCTCGGAAGCCCAGCTCCAGCATCACAAAGCAGGGGATGGCAAGGTGGGTTTGGAGCGGAGAGACCACAGCTTAATAACCACACGGGTGACATTCTAAATCTCTGCTTCCATCCCATTTTGTTTTATCATTTAATTATCAGAGGGCAGCCTACATCTAAGATTTTTGGGAAGTCATCTTATTGTCGCCTCCTGTGTTTCACTCAAGTCGCTCCCTATCTGGTAGTGGGGGTGGAGGCACACACAATGAGCTGATTTCCCAGCAAAGCCTGGTGCCTTTGGTGAAAGAAGGGACGAGAAAGTAGTGAAATGTGGTGAGAGTTCACCCTGAATGGCTCTAACCCTTGGAAAAGGCCACAGTGCATTTGTACTGGCATTGAGAGAAGAGTGATAGGTAGCACTTCAAAGGAATTGACAAAAAAGGGCAACTATAAGGCCCATTATACAGAAGGAGAAACCGAGGCTCAGAGAATTCATTTCTTGAGTCAGAAAACTCCATCTGTCTGACTGCCTAGCCCACAGCCTTGTGACTAGAGCTTGTCATTTCTTCACGTTTATCCTCCTATGAAAGTGGGTAATGACGTCTGCCTTTCAGGGTGGGTGGTGAGGGCTTCATGGATTAAACAGAATCATACAGCCACTTTTGGAGACAGATGCTGGGCACATTCACACTCCTACTCACCAGCCGAGGAACTTGTAGTTCAAATTCGTGTCTCTGCTAAGTCACAAAGCAGTCCATGTCATGGATCTGGGGGTGGGAAGGCTGGTGGTGATCTCATACTGAAACAAGAATGTCAAATCCTTGAATGCCATTGTCTCAGTGAATAATGATAATGAGGATAATGATAATAATAGCAATATGATTCCAGTTAGTGAGCGCTGACTATGTGTGTGCCAGGCATTCTATATATTTGATTTTGCTTTGTCTTTTCATTAAATAGGTATTTCAGGGCACTGTGTGCCAGGTATCATGTTATGTTAACTCCAATCATCACAGGACACTGAGCGGTAGGTATTATTATTCCTGTTTAACAGATGATGAACCTGAGTTAAGAGAGCAAATAGAACCAGACCATAGAACAGGCATCATTCATATCATGGACAAATGAAAGAGTCTATTGCATCAAATTTTTTAAAGCACCTACAGGTTTTATAAACTGCCAAGTTTGATTCTTTTTAAAAGAAAAATAATTATTTTTAAAATAAAAAATCTCAATAGATGGGTCAGATAGCAAAATGGACTGAACAGTTAATCAGTGAGCTAGAAGAACAAACTAAGGAATTCTCCCAGAATTCAGTGCAAAAAGAACAAATAAATGGAAAGTCTGAACAAAGTGTTGAGACGTGAAGGACAGATACAAAAGTTCCACTGTCCCTTAATGTGAGTTACAGACTGAGAGAAGAAAACAGAGGAAGGAGAGGCAGTAATTCAAGAAATTTATTTGGAACTTAGTCATTTTTCTTCTCCTTCTATTAGAGGCAGAGAGTTGGTCTCACAGGAGGCTCAGGTAACCCCTGCTGGGTCTGATAGCTGACTGCTATTACAATTCAATATAATCCAAAGCTCTTATAGTGAGAGGACCTAGGAAGTAATTCCTGTAAGTGACAGAAAGGATGTAAAACAACCTACATCTAAGTACATGGTGATGAAATTTCAGGACACGAAGAATAAAAAAGAAATCCTGAAAGCTTCCAGAGTGGAAAAAGAGGTGGTCAAGGATGGAATGAGAATAAGATTGACCTCAATCTTTCTTCTCATTTACAACTTTGTAAGCAAGGCGACAGAACGCTATCTTCAAAGTTCTCTGGTGAAATACTTGTGAATTTAGGATTCTTTACCCAGCCAAGCTACCAAGCAAATGTGAGAGCATCTTAAAGACATTTTAAGACACAAGTGGACTTCAAACATTTAAACTCACAGTCCATGTAGAATAGCATTTCCCAACAGGGTACTGGTGGCATTTTGGGTGGACAGTTCTTTATTGTGTAAGACTGATGCAATCCAGTAAATGCCAGCAGCATCCTTCCTTGTTCAGTGTGACAGCATAAAACACCCCACATTAGAAAGGGGTGTGGTATAGCCTCTGGTTGAGAACCCACTGGTGTAGAAGAACAAATGAATCCAGGAAGAAAACGTGGGGCATAAGAAGTAGAGGTAAGTAAGGAAACCAGCAAAGTTTATTTATAAGTCTAAAATAAATATCTTTTCTTATAATGACTAAAATTGAGATGATCAAATGGGATGGAGAGGCTTGCAGTTTGGAAAGGAGGAAGGAGAGAGAAGTAATAGCATGCTAAAGTCTCCATTCTATTTAGTAGGAAAATATAGATATTATTTAACTCTAGATTGATTGAGAATATGCTTAACTATGTGTTTCAAAAATATACATATAATAGGAAGAGAAAGAATATATATATTTCATGTCATTAGAAGACAAATTAATTGGGAACAAATAAAATGCTATCAACTCTTCAAAAAGGAGGGATGAAAAAGAAACACAAAAACAGCATATCTAGTAGAAAAATGCATGGTAAATGGGAAGAAATGTGTGAATATGGCAATAATAATAATAATACATGTGAATATGTTAAATTCACTGTTAAAAAATAGAGACTTGCATTTAGTAAAATTGTCAAAGTGTATGCTGTTTTATGAGACAGCAAAAACAGAGTAATAAAGACTGACAAAATATTGAAATAGAAAAAGATACACCAGGCAAATGCCAGCAAAGGGGGAGCAAGTGGTTAAGCAATCGTAGCAATAGGCAAAATGGATTTCAAGGCAAAAATAATCAGTATTATTTGAAAAGACAAAAATATATATTGATAAGATATTCAACCTACCAATAAATTTAGCCTTTATGCTTGTCTGTGCCTAGTAATGTAGGATTGAGATCTGTGATGGGAAAACTGATAGAATTTCAGGAGAAAACAACCAATCCACAGCTTTGTGGGAACCTTTAATATATAGGAATCTACAGAACTAGGAGTCAAGAAAATCCAGTAAGGAACTGGGAGGATTTGAATAGCATGATTAACAAGCTTTATTGAATAGATTAACATGGAGCAATATGTTTGCCCTTTTCAAACACACATGATAACTTTGCAAAATCATCCTTACTTGAAATAATAGCTATTTCTTTTAACCTTTCCCCCTTTTTGCTTTTCTCTTGGTCTCATATTTTTCTTTCCTCCCCTTCCCATTTTTCTATCTGTACCACCTGCTTCTCCTCCTCCCCCCCAGGAAATCTTGCCTGCAGAGTGACTATATCCTTCTTATCTTCCTTTATGCTCATGAAATAAGATGTACATATATACATACCGAAGTCGATTTCTCTCCCTGTCTCTTACAACAATGGAATCACAGTTTGTACATTTCTTTGCATCTTTTTAAAAACACCTTTTAATTTATTTCAGAGAGGAAAGGAGAGGGATAGAAACATCAATGATGACAAAGAATCATTGATTGGCTGCTGCTTGCATGCCCCACCCTGGGGATCAAGCCCACAACCGGGGCATGTGCCCTGACCGGGAATCGAACCGTGACCTTCTGGTTCATAGGTTGACGCTCAACCACTGAGCCACGCCGGATGCGCCATTTCTTTGCATCTCGCAGAGATGGAAGATGGGAGCTCCTCCAAGTCAGTACATAGCTTTTTAAGACATTCTTTGTGAATGGTGTTACAACACGCCCTGATATAAATGTGCCACAATTTATTCAATCATTCTACCTGTGGGCATAGCACTTGGGTTTTAGGGTCTTATTGCCACCGTGATCACTGTTGCTATGATCTACATACATTGCAGTGCTTTTATTTCTATGGGCTGGATTCTCGGGCGACGGATTGCTGGCTCAAAGAATACATGGAGTTGCTTTATTTTGATAAATGTTGCCAGATTGCTCTCCAACAAGGTCCTAACTACTGTGATGTGAGGAAGACAGTCCCTGCCCTGCCTCTGGCAGGTGTTACCATGCTCCCAAATTGCTAGTCTGATGTGAATGAAGTGATATTTCATTGTTTTTTAATTTGTATTTCCTGGGCTCCTAGGGAAGCTGAACATCTTTTTAGGTTTATTCTGCGTTTGGATTTTTAAAAAAATAGTCTAGTGATAGCTTCTGACTATTCTGATTCTGATATGAATTTGCAAAGGCTCTTTGTATATACAGATGTTAACCCTGTACCTGCCATCTGTGTTGTAGATGGACAGAAAGATCTCATTGAGTGCTCGGTAGAAGTAGTGTGGTATGTTTACTTCTAAGATCTTCGTGGCTTTATTTTTTAGATTTAAGTCTTTGATTCAGCTGGAATTTATTTTTGTGTAAATGACATGAAACCGGGTCCGATTTTATTTCTTCTCTCTCTACACTCTCCAATGTGGTAGCCTCTAGCCCAGCCGTGGGCAAACTACGGCCCGCGGGCCGAATCCGGCCCGTTTGAAATGAATAAAACTATTGAAAAAAAAGACCGTACCCTTTTATGTAATGATGTTTACTTTGAATTTATATTAGTTCACACAAACACTCCATCCATGCTTTTGTTCCGGCCCTCTGGTCCAGTTTAAGAACCCATTGTGGCCCTCGAGTCAAAAAGTTTGCCAACCCTTGCTCTAGCCATATGTGGCTAGTGGGCACTTGAAATGTGACTGCTCTGAATTGAAATGGGCTGTAAGTTTAAAACATACACCGATTTCCAAGACAAAAAAAAAGTAAAATGTCTTATTAATACCTTTCATATTGATTACATGTAAAATCAGAATGTTTTGAATATACTGGATTAAATAAAACATTAAAATGAAATTCACATATTTCTTTCTTTACTCCTTTTTAATGTAGCTACCAGGAAAATGTTAATTATGTACACAGCTTGCATTATGTTTCTATCGAACGGCACTATTCCAGGTAATCAGTTATGCCAGAACTATTTCCTACACATTTTGTTCTCTTGCACTTATCTTTTATCTGCCTCACGAGGGGTATATCTATTTTATTGCTTGAAATAGACTTCTGTCTTATTCATCACTTCCCATCTTCTTTTGAGTAGCTCTTTTGTGTTTGGAGAAATTAATCAGAACACGAATTCCCAGCTTCCCTCACTATTAAGATTGTGGATTTGACCTTCGTAGAATGAATGGGAAGGAAACTACATGGGGAATCGAGTCCTGCATGGAGTTTCCATTTCCATAGGCCCAGGTGGCTCAGGCAATGAGCTTTGATGGTGGCAGTCCCAGCAGTGGTTTCAAGGTCAAGGTCCTGGCATTGGGGGGATGGTGACAGCAGTGGGCAGCTCCTTCATCAGGCAGCACTGGGTATGGTTTAGGGCAGTGGTCTGCAAACCACGGCTCGCGAGCCACATGTGGCTCTTTGGCCCCTTGAGTGTGGCTCTTCCACATAATACCCGGTGTGGGTGTGCATGTACAGTGCGATTGAAATTTTGTGGCCCATGCACAGAAGTCAGTATTTTGTGGAAGAGACACACTCAAGGGGCCAAAGAGCCGCATGTGGCTCACGAGCCGCAGTTTGCCGACCACTGGTTAGGGCACTGATGAACCTCGAGTCTGGCTGTTTAGCCCTCACAGCAATTTTGTGAGCTACTCAATATCTCTTTAATAAACTTGTTTTCGAGAAGTATGGTAGAGGAGAACCAAGATGGCGGCATAGGTGAACGCCGGAGTTTGCTGCCTTGAACAACTACTTCAAAAGTGAAACTAAAAAACGGAACGGACATCACCCAGAACCACAGGAACGCTGGCTGAGTGGAAGTCCTACAACTAGGAGGAAA